ACTATAAAATCGGCTCCCAATTCCCAATTACTATAAGTTCAATTGCTTCGAACTAGCTCCCAACTAGCTCCCAATTTCAATTACTATAAAATCGGCTCCCAATTCCCAATTACTATAAGTTCAATTGCTTCGAACTAGCTCCCAATTTCAATTACTATGAAATCGGCTCCCAAGTGCAATTGCTTCCTAATTTCCACTTGTAATCGTCGCCCAAAGCTTAAACTAGCGCCCAACTCCATTAGATTAATTTAATTTGGCTTCTCAAATTTTACTTTGTAAAATTGTTGATGGTGAGTTTTAAACCTAAGCCATTTCACATAATATATCAAGCATCATCCACTTCATCCATACAGCTTTTGATTAAATCTCCAATCACATTTGATGTACTCCTTTCTTTTCATAGATGCTTGATCTCCAAGTCAATTTCATGCATTCTTCCAATATTAATTTTCTTCACGAAAATTCTTCTGGGATATCTTCTTTGAGTAGCATTGACGTGATTTATTGTATCATTCATCTTCTTCTTCAATTTGTCATTTTTCTCCAGACAAATTCTTGATTTTAGGCTTTATATCTTCTTCTTCTATTTTCATGCATCTTCCTCTATTTTTCTCTTTTCCAATTTAAATAATTTCCCGATCATGGTCTAAGACTCTACTAGACCTATAAAATTGGGATCTACAAATACAAATTTGGCATATCAAAACCATTACACTTTATTCATAACAACTATAATCATATTCACGCAGAATTTTTTTTGAACAAAGAAGAGCAATAGCCCAAACCTGGGAGAATAGAGCGGGAGGGGAGGCAGCGGTGGGCGGAGCAGGCTGCACCGTCGGCAATCGGCGAGAGAAGAGCAGTCGGCGGCAGTGGGAGGAGCAGGCCGCACCGTCGGCAATCGGCGAAGAGAAGCACAGTCGGCGGCGGTGGCGCGGAGGAAAAGCACAGTAGGCGGCGGTGGGCGAAGGAGAACGATAGTCGGCGGAAGAGTTGTCGATTGAGAAGCGCATTCGAAGGTTTAGGCGGAGGAGAACGACGTCAGGAGATCTCTTCACTTAGTATAGGTTTAAATTTCTTAAGCAATGAAAATCAAAAGGAATTTTAACATTTAAAATGACGTTATTTTGGCCTATTTAGCTACGGACAATATCCGTCGTTACCCTATAAAATAAATCCCGCTTGTTATTTTAGTAACGGATGTTAAATTCCGTTGCTAAACTATTTTTTTCAAAAAATTATATTATTGAACAACCAAAAGCCTAGGCTAATATGTCTTTAAAAAATCCCCGCGCCTAATTTCAGAAATCCCGCCTAGTTAGCGATGGATATAAAAATCCGTCGCTAGACTACATTGCTAAAAAAACCCGAAATTTAGCGACGGAACCACATTTCCATCACTACTACATTTTAAAGACAACCCGCTACAAATCCTAGCGACGGATCCTTTAATCCGTAGCTAAAATATCAACACAAACAAGATTCGACTTGAATATGTAGCGACAGATTCATATATCTGTCGCTACTGCGTAGCAATTAAAGTAATGAAAAAAATTCGTGAAAATTACGTCGCAAATTCGTCTCTAATTTTTGCGCCAAAATTTACCGCTAAAATTAGCTACGTATTTAACGACGGAAATGGTCCGTCGCTAAATCTCCATTGAACAAAAAAACCTGTGACTTAGTACAAACCTGTGACTTAGTACAAGAACATTAGAAACCTGTGACTTAGTACAAACAATAGAACATTTGATCATTGTCTTCAAGCATGTAAAACACACCATCCTAAAAGTTTCTAATTTCCCTTACTAAACATAACGGTAATCAAACCATAACTTTTGAAATACAAGAAGATATCAAATTTATCAGGTTATTTTTATGACAAATTCACCAAGAGAGTAAGTTGGGATTTTTAGTATGTAAAATTCTTTCGTAAGCTCTGTAGTAACTTAATCAAGAATCGTATATCCTAACAACATACGAAAATTTTATATATATATATATATATATATATATATATATATATATATATATATATATATATATATATATATATATATATATATATATATGGTAGAGTTCCAGTGAGAACATGTGCTTATGTGAGAACGTGAGAACACATCATGTGCATCCATCTAATATTTTTTAATGGTCTAGATTAGATTAAATGTGTGTGAATGCGCATTAAATGTGTGCAAACGTGATTTAGTGTGTTTGCACACATTTAATGCGCGTTCGCACACACTTAATTTAATCTAGACCATTAAAAAATATTAGATGGATGCACATGATGTGTTCTCACGTTCTCACCTAAGCACATGTTCTCATATGATCCTAACTCTCTCTCTCTCTCTCTCTCTCTCTCTATATATATATATATATATATATATATATATATATATATATATATATATATATATATATATATATATATATATATGTGTGTGTGTGTGTGTGTGTGTGTGTGTGTGTGTGTGTGTGTGTGTGTGTGTGTGTGTGTGTGTATTTAAATGAGGACAAGTATATTATAGAGGATTGTGAGGACAGATGTAGTGTGTGCCATTAGCCGGTATGTCGTGTGCATGGCCGAAAGTAGTCGTGTGCCACAGTTTGTATGTCGCGTGTTAGATTTGTTAATTTATAGAGCCTGAGTTCGAAACCTAATGTTTACATTTATTCGTGTGTGCCATTATGTATTAAGTTGTGTGCCTGGTATTAATTTGTTGTGTGCCCATTATTTGTCCTCACGATCCTCTATATATTGTAGTCCTCATTTGAACTCAACCCTATATATATATATATATATATATATATATATATATATATATATATATATATATATATATATATATATATATATATATATATATATATATATCCATCACCTCCTTTGTCTTCTTAAAAACTAGAGTAATGAATGAGGAACCTAAGACTCAATTATGAAAATTCTACAAGCTTTTGTAACTTCTAAAAATGATTATTGACTAAACTACTACATATGAAAAAAAATCTACATACTAAAAATCTCAAGTTATTCCGTTGGTGAATTTCTCATAAAAGCAACCTGAGAAATTTGACATCATTTTGTATCTCAAAAGTTATGGTTTGATTACCTTTGGTGCTTAGTAAAGAAAATTAAAAATTGATAGAATAGTGTGTTTCACGCGTCTAAAGACAATGATCAAGTGTTTATTTGTTTATGCTAAGTCTTAAGTTTGTTATACGAGAGCAGGTTCCTAACAAGTCGTACTAAAGTTATTGAAATGCTTTTAGAATTGAACAATCTTGAAATAAGAGGCTAAAAAGTAAAAAATAATGTTGTGAAAGTGGTTTTGATATAAGGAGAATAAAAAGTGAATTTTTTACTTTACCCCTCAAAATTTAAATATTTTTTAATTTTTTCGTCAGTTTTAATGGTTGGGGACCAAATGCGCCACTTTATTCATAACTGAAGGACTAAAAATGGATACGGTCATAACTCAGGAAATGAGTCGGAACTTGGGTATAACTCAGGGACCAAAGATGCAATTTTCCCTTATCTTTTTTTTTATTTTTTTTTTTTAATTTCTTTTCTATCCATATTTTGTTTTTATGAATTTGTATATTTTGTTAAATATATAAACATAAAATTTGAATAATTAAAAATAAATTATACCATTTGAAAGATCTCATCAAGACGATTAAAACTAGAGCTGTCAAAAATGGGTTTTACCTGCAGGGTCGACCTGTCCCGTCCCGCCGTAGGTAGGGGGCGTGTTCTTCATTTGTTGACCCGCCAGGAGGCGGGCTTTTTAGCCCGCCCCACCTGGGTCACGGGCCCAGGCGGGGCAGGTCGCGGGTTTAGCTCGCGACCTACAAATATATATCTTTTTTTAAAAAAAATTTGTGAACAATTGAAAAATTCCCATCAACGATTCGGCGTTCAAGCATGAAGCATCGATTCAGACCTCCACCGCCATTCGCAAATCAAATCCTAATCCTTGAAGAGTTAACTTAGTTTGCATGTCATTTTTTTTATTTTATTTTACACAGTAGTGTAACTACTAATTCATTTATAGGTGCTTTAAAAAGAAAGAAACTGATGATGCTTCAAGGGTATTTCGGTTGCAATTTATAGCTTAAAATATCTTCTGCCTTGCTATGATTATATGAAAATGAGACACTAGGAATGATGCTGATGATTTCATGAACTTTTAATACTTGTTTGTATCGTGTATGCATCTCATAGTTGCATAGTACTAACTACAGTACAATTTTTTTTTTTTTTAATTATAGGAAAATATTGGTTGGCGGGCTGGCGCGCTTCGCCAACGGCCTTTGGCATGGCGGGGCGGGCCAGCCACATTCCAAGCCCGCTAAGTGGCGGGCTAAACTACGGGGACGGACTTTGGTGTGTTTTGGCACGTCTCGTCCCGCAAGACCGTTTCGACGGTTCTAATTAAAACAATATTAATATTATATATATATATATATATATATATTAATTAAAAACTAAAGTACATATAACATAATTTTCATAAAATTAAATTGAATACATCTGAGATTAGATAAAAACATACATAGATGCACTTCGTAATGCATTGATTGAGCATCTATGAGAACGATATGGTAATTTCGAAAATTAAATGTAATAGTTGTTATATGTTATATTATTGTGGAATAAAAATATTATTAGCATTACAATTAAATTTTATATTAAAAAATTAAAGTTTTATTTAATGAGAAAATAAGTTATTTTAGTGTAAGAATAGAATCTGATATAATGAGTTAGACATGAATAAAATTTGGTGTAAAAATATACTAATTTTGATTTAAATTTTGGTGCAAAATTTAATATTTTGGGTTGGAGATAACTTTAGATCTCGATACTTAAAAGGGCCAAAATGCCATTTACTTTGTTTTGTTCGTCTATGTTCTGAATCTTCTGATTAATATACTGAGAAAATGAAGTGGTCGTTGGCTAAAGAGGAAAACAGAAGCTGAGGCCCACAAAATCCACAATGCGTCTGAACATGTCCTCCTCCGCCTCCGCCTCCGCCTCCGCTCTCCCCCTCCCATTCTCCACCGCCACTTTCACTCACCACCACAGTCACCGCGAATTCTCTTCTTCTCTACTCCCTATCTCCGCGTCGCCGCTAAACGCCTCCGAACAATGCACTTCCGGGGCCTACCCGGTTCTCCGCCACGACGAGCAGCGGAAATCTCCCCCCAAAGCCAAAACGATTCGGTACCGCCTCAGTCAGCTCTGCCGCGAAGGCCAGCTCAACCTCGCCTGCCAGCTGTTCGACGCAATTCCTCAACCAACTACTGTGCTCTGGAACACAATTATCATTGGGTTCATCTGTAACGACATGCCCCACGAAGCCCTCATGTTCTATTCCCGCATGAAGCGCTCGGGGTTGTCACACAGTTGTGATTCCTACACTTACTCTTCTGCACTCAAAGCCTGTGCCGAAACGAAGCGCCTTAGGATAGGTAAATCCGTGCACGCTCATATCATACGTTCGGATATTCACCCCAGCAGAATTGTATACAATTCTCTCTTGAACATGTATGCCGCTTGTCTGAGCTCAGAAAAGCACTGTGATCATAATTTAGTAGAAAGGGTGTTTAATACAATGCGTAATCGAAACGTGGTTGCTTGGAATACTATGTTTTCCTGGTATACGAAAACTGACAGATTCCTAGAAGCGGTAAGACATTTTGTTATGATGCTGAAGATGGGCATTAAACCAACTGTTATTAGTTTCGTGAACATATTTCCTTCTATTTCTGCACTGGGGGACACTAGGCTTGCTGATGTTTTGTATGGGATTCTTGTAAAATTAGGTAGTGATTATGTAAATAATTTGTATGTTGTGAGTGCGGCTATTTTAATGTATGCTGAGCTTGGATGCCTTGACACTGCAAAGAGTATATTTGACTCCAGTTTTGACAGAAATGTAGAGATATGGAACTCTATGATTAGCGCGTATGTTCAGAATAATTACCCTCTAGAAGCACTACATCTCTTTCTTGATGCTTTGGAAGCTGAAGATGTGCCTTCATTTGATGATGTAACTTTTCTTTCAATGCTTACAGCAGCTTCGCAGTTGTGTCATTTGAAGTGTACTCAACAGCTACATTCATATTTGATCAAGAGCTCTCTTGTTTCGCATGTTATTCTGCAAAACTCCATGATTGCCACATATTCTCGGTGTAACTGCATTGGTGATTCATTTAAAGTCTTTATTCAAATGAAGGAAAGAGATGTCGTTTCCTGGAACACAATGCTTTCTGCTTTTGTGCAGAATGGACATGATGTTGAAGGTTTGATGCTCGTGTATGAGATGCAAAAGCAAGGGTTTGCTATTGATTTCATTACACTTACTGCTCTACTTTCTGCAGCTTCAAATCTCAGGGATGAGCAAATTGGTAAGCAGACCCATGCTTATCTTCTTAGACATAATATTCAATTTGAAGGGATGGAGAGTTACTTAATAGATATGTATGCTAAATCCAGCATGATCAAGGCAGCACAAGCAATATTTGAAATAAGCTCCTCCAATAATAGAGATCAGGTCACATGGAATGCTATGATAGCAGGTAACACACAAAATGGGTTAATTGAGTTGGCATTTATTGTCTTCAGGCAGATGGTTGAGAAGAACATGGCTCCAAATGCTGTGACCTTAGCATCAATTCTTCCTGCATGTAGTCAGTTAGGAGGTATAACAGCGGGTAAGCAGCTCCATGGTTTTGCTATTCGCAACTTTTTGGACAAAAATGTTTTTGTGAGTTCTGCACTAGTAGACATGTATGCTAAATCAGGTGAAATTCTCTATGCCGAAAGTGTTTTTTGGAGCTCTTGTGAGAAGAACTCTGTAACATACACAAATATGATTTTGGGCTATGGTCAACATGGGATGGGGGAGAAAGCTTTAGAACTTTTCTATTCTCTGCCAGATCAAGGTGTTAAACCTGATGCAATTACCATTGTAGCAGTCTTGTCTGCCTGCAGCTATTCTGGGTTGGTTGAAGAAGGCCTTCAAATATTTGAATTAATGGACAAAGAATATGGTATTCAGCCCTCTCTTGAGCACTATGCTTGTATTGTGGACTTGCTAGGAAGAGTTGGGAGGGTGGTTGAAGCATACAGGTTTCTTCAGGGGCTTGGTGAAGAAGGTAATATATTGGGGATGTGGGGATCCCTTCTTGCTGCCTGCAGAATTCACAGAAATTTTGACTTAGCAAAAGTTGTTGCTAACAAGTTGCTTGAATTGGAGGGTGGAGACAGGATGACAGGTTATCATGTTCTGCTTTCTAATATATATGCAGAGGAAGGAAATTGGGAGTTTGTAAATGGTGTGAGAGGAGGACTGCATGAAAGGGGGTTTGTAAAGGAGGTTGGTTGCAGTTGGATTGATATTTCTGGTTATACTTGTGGGTTTGTTTCTAGAGATAGAAGGCATCCCAATTGCAATGAGATATATGAAATGTTGGACAACTTATTTATTAATATGAAGGACATCGGTTATAGGTGTCAGCTAGATGCAATCTAAGAGTGGAAAGACTTCCAGACCAGGGCACTTTTGTATGAGAGGTCTTACACTCTTACTAGCTGTGAAATCATGGAGTAATTAATCAGTCACCAACTTGGAAACCACGGTATGATGTGCAGTGATATTGTCTTTTGTTTTTCATTCTGGTTTCTTGACTTTTTTTCTTCAGAATGATGTGCACTGCCTAACCAAACTGTTAACTGAATCTTTAAGATGATTCTTGGTTGCTTTATTAACAACAAATTCTTCAGGTTGGAATGCTTTTTGAAGCTTGCAATTGGGTGTTCTGTGCCCACTTCCTTGCTCCATGTAAAGGAGGCATTTGGATTCCAAAATCTTAATCAAATTGCTTGGTCTTAATAATGAAATCAACTGAAGGAAAGATCTCCATGTTTTCTGGTCAGTTTTACCAGCCACTTTTTGTCATTCAGCTCTAATCCCATGCCTTCTTCTAGACTCTAGAGTAATGTATTTTTTTTTTTTAGTACTACTGACTCTATTACAATGTAGTATCTGTTCATAGCTACTTTCTCAACTTACTGAAGCACGAAGAGTCAGTCAATACAGCCCCCAGCCCCCCACTGGGGCTCAAACATGACCTCCCATTTGGGAGAGTCACTTCATGCCACTAGAGTAATGTATTTGGATTTATTAAAAACTTATATTTGAGGGTTCAATTGCACAAGGTTTCCATATTATGCAGGGTCTAGGGAAGGAAGATGTGTGCAACTTTCCTCTGTTTTCAGAGGTTGTCTCCAGTTCTCATGACATCACTTTCTACGCTTGGTGCTTGGCCACTTCACCAAGTGGAACCAGAATTGCAATGGTATGGCATTCCTCAAATTAGGATCATAATTTCCTTCCAGTCTGAACTATTTTGCTTCCCTACAAGTTAGGATAACACATTTGCAAAAATTGATTGCAACTTTGTATATTGACTAATAACCAATAATTGGAAATCATAAAGTGTAAATTTTCATTTATCATTTGGATGATGTCAGTTTTTTTATTGATTATTATTTGGAAAGTGGCTTTTGATTTTTGGTCTTAAACATGGTTTTTTTTTTTTTTTTTTTTTTTTGTAGAATAGTAAGTATTCAAAATGTTATTAGTGAAAATCAAACCTAAGTCTCCCATCTCTTCAACAATATGTTATGATTATATCTATACTGCAACATCAATTTGTTAATTATACAACTATTTTATTTACTATTAACATTAAGTAGAAATAAACTCTTAAAATATAGAAAAAGAAAATAGCGGTGAGCTGCAATTGTGATATATAATTGTAGGTTGATAGAACACACTTTTGAAAGGAAGAGAGTATTTTAGGGATACTATAATCGAATACCATGGTACATGCCAAATAAAAAATAAAGAGCAGGTGATTGACTAAAATTACATTTTTCTTATTAAATAAAATATTAGTAAATAGATATCCTAGTAAAATTGATATATTATTAATTTGTTATTCAAATGATTTGGTTTTATCATCTTTTCATAGAAATCATTTGTTGATCTTTACAAGTCTGTGGTATACTCCCAGTTTGATTTCTTAACATTGCTTCTTGTAGCAGGTTTATTTGTTTTAATTTTGTTTAGGGGTGTGGGATTGGGACTCGGTGACTGTAGGCTTCCTTAAACTTTTTTGTACATAGTTTTCTCTTTTAATAAATTACCTTTTTTTTTTTGGCTAAAGTGTCATCCCGCACCATGAATTATTCTTGATTATTCATGCCGTACCATGATCTTTAATAAGTGATATTTAGAGCCATAAACCATTTCTTTTTCTTCTAGAACCTTTTATAAGTTTTCCGGTAATCCTGATGACATAGCCCGGTAATAAACTGATGTGACATTATTTCTCAGTCCATGTAAGCATTTTTAATTAAAAAATTTTTTAAAAATATTTTTTTTAAAAAACAACAACTTTGCTGCCACCCCCTCCTCCTTCCGGTTCGTCTCAACCGGAGGCGAAGGAGGAGGATTGTTTTTATCTTTTTAAAAAATTTTTAAATTTTTTTAATTAAAAATGCTGAAATGGACTGATAAATAATGCCTTGTAGCTTATTGTAAAGTTCAAGACGAAAAAAAATTGATGGTTTATATTCGAAATCACTTTTTAAAAATTATGGTGCTTGCATGAATAATTAGAAATGGTTCATGACACGGAATGACAATTTAGCTTTTTTTTTTTTTTTTTTTTTTTTTTTTTTTTTTTTTTTAATATATAAGAATTGGCTTTATCCTTTTCTCATGGGAATTAATTTGAGAAAAGAAATACAGAAAAATCTCTGCCTCAAGTTTTAAAATTTTATCCCTTCTTGCATTGCTGTTGCTCTCAAAAGTTTGGAAGGATAGTAATGGAAATTTCCCATTTTCTAGGTTTGGGTCCAACTAAGCAGCACTAGTTTTGTCCCGTCCCCATGAAGTAAGCAGTGACGAAATGGTATACTTTTGTCCTCTCTCAACTTTCTTGCCAAATGCCAAAGGTTGAATTCCAATCACATGAACCCACCAAAGGTTGAATTCCAATCACATGGACCCACATTATGATATTTGAGAAGGTGTATTTGATATTATGTCGTTTAGGTTAATGACTTATGTTTTTTACAATTTAATTTTTTCATAATATTAAATTTAAAATTAGTATATAAATTTTAAAGAAAAGGGTAAAATAGGCTCTCAAACTTTAACTTAAAAGTCAATTAGATATCTAAACTTTTTAAAGGTGCAATTACACTCATCAACAATTCATTTAGGTGCAATGAAGCCCAAAAACAAGTTAATGACCTGCTATCACAGGTCATTAGGGTTTAGGCCACCTTCCGGCAAAAAAAAGGTAAACAGCAACCGACTTAGATTTATCGAAAATTTTGCCGGTCACTTTTTTTTGTAGGAAATTTCGCCAGTCACCTTCTTTTTTTTTTTTTTTTTTTTTTTGGTTGAAAAATTTGCCGGAAGATGGCCTGAACCCTAATGACCTGTGACAGCAGGTCATTAATTTGTTTTTGGGCTTCATTGCACTTAAATGAATTGTTGATGGGTGTACTTGCACCTTTAAAAAGTTTAGGCGTCTAATTGACTTTTAAGCTAAAGTTCGAGGGTCTATTTCACCATTTTTCCTAAATTTTATATACTTAGGAATTATATTAAAAGTATTTTTAAACATAAAAAATTAAATTTAAAAATTATAAGAAAATGTTAATAGAAATAAGTAAAAAAGAAAGAGTTTGTTTGACTACTATATAATAAGTATGACAGATAAAATAAGACAGATAGAGTATGTTTACTTTTATTTTTTACTTTTAATTTTTTACTCTACACATACAATTTTGATGTAGACATTTGTATTGGGACTTATGTGAAAAAGTACCTTACTAGTATTCATCACATCATGGAGTAAAATTTGAAAGTCCATATAATAAAATTCTATATAAATTAAGGTAAGAATAAACAAGGTTAAATGTTAATGTGGACAAAAATTTATTCACTTTAAACGTCTCTTTTCTTACTTCATATACTACTATTTATTTTATTAAACTAATGATTTTTTGGCGATGCTGAACTCTCTCAACTTTCTTATCAAAGGATTGGGAGTGAAATAAAAAAGTGGAGACGTACGAGTTTCTAGTTTCTAGTAGAAACTTGTTGTGCCGTGCTGGAACATAATTATATTATTATCTGCTTCGCATTGCTGGGCTTGAAGCACCCTTGAAAGTTGAAAGCTGAAAGCTCAAACTCTACTCGATCTTGATCAAGAGCGGTGAGAACGATGAGCAATCCAGAGCTAGCCTTCCTCCCCTGGGAAGGAATGGGGCATCTTGTCCCCATGGTGGAATTGGCCAAACTCATGCTGGAGAGGAATCAAATCCTCTCCATCTCCATCTTAGTGATGAGGACTTCCATGGACTTTGGAGCCGACAAGTATCTTGACTCAGTCACTTCAGATTCCGGCCACCCCAGGCTGCGCTTCCTAGATCTCCGTCAATACAACGACCCTGAAGATGCCGGCGGCGAGGTAGTGCTTAATCCCGACAACTTTCTCTTCGATTTCATCCATAGCCAAACAGCTCACGTTAGGCGATTCGCCCAGACTAATTATGCTGATTCTGAATGTGATCGTCCTCGACTCGTGGGCTTTGTGATTGACATGTTCTGCGCCCCAATGATAGATGTTGCCAATGAATTCAGTGTCCCAACCTATCTCTTCTTTGCTTCTAGCATTGGTTTTCTCGGTCTCTCTCTCCATTTTCAGGCCCTCAAGCACGACCATAAGGAAGACACTAGCCGGTACAAGAATTCGGATGAGGAATTGTCCATCCCGTACTTTGCCAACCCTGTTCGGGGGAAGGTTTTGCCGTCGCCGATGGTTGAGAAAAACCCAGCCACGGATATGTTCTTTGACGGCGTAAAGAGGTACAAAGAGACTAAGGGGATCATGGTGAACACCTTCGGAGAGCTGGAGCACTACGCCCTTCAGGCACTCTCCGATACAAAAACCGTGCCCCCTGTATATCCGGTTGGTCCACTGCTGAACCTTGAAGCCGGGCATGGCCGAAACAAGGCATCGCAATCCGAGAGCATCATGAAATGGCTGGACGATCAACCCACATCGTCGGTGGTGTTCTTGTGCTTCGGGAGCTTCGGGAGTTTCGAGGAGAAACAAGTGACGGAAATCGCTACCGCCCTGGAGTTGAGTGGCCACCGCTTCCTGTGGTCCTTGCGGAGGCGGCCGCCCAAGGGGAAGCTGGAGCTACCAGCTGACTACGAGAACCCGGCGGAGGTGCTGCCGGAAGGGTTCTTGGAGAGGACGAAAGCGGTGGGAAAAGTAATCGGGTGGGCACCGCAGCTGGCGGTGCTATCACACCCGGCGGTGGGCGGCTTCGTGTCGCATTGCGGCTGGAACTCCCTCCTGGAGAGCATCTGGTGCGGGGTTCCCATAGCGACGTGGCCACTCTACGCCGAACAACAGATAAACGCATTTTGGGCGATAAAGGAGGTGGGAATAGCGGCAGAGATCAGGATGGACTACAATGTCGGAGGTTTAGGGGGCAATGAAGAGGACAACATTGTAACTGCAGAGGAAATTCGGAAAGGGATAATGGAAATAATGAGTAATGGAGACATAAGGAAAAAGGTTAAGGAGATGAAGGAGATGAGCAGGAAAGCTATGATTGAGGGAGGATTATCTTATACAGCACTGGACACCCTCCTCAAGGCTGTTATCGATACTATATGAAGATAGATGTATGTATGTAGTTGATTTTGTTTCAGAATGCCTTTTCTATGCAAGTAATCAAAACTTTATATTTACTTGTATATTATCAAGTGAAGGATTTTGATCCTTAATTAGCTTTGTAGCTTGATCTTAGTAGATATATTGGAACTTGCAATAAAATATTATATTAAATTAAAAGAAAAGCTAGCTTTTGAGAGCAATTTAATTAAGAGGTTAAGTGTGTGTTTCGAAATTCGAAAAATGATTTCTAGAAATTATTTTTTGAGTTTTAGTGTTTGGTTAGATGGGAGAAATGGAAGTTAATGGAATAAGAGGTGTGGTAAATAAAAAATAGAGGAGATTTTTTAGAAAATAACTTACGTTTGGAAGTTATTTTCCGTTTACCGTAGTGGAGCAGTCAGGGTATCATTCGCATGAACTTGGACTCTTTCTTGTTTCTAATGCTATCAATTGAATATCTTATGAGGTTTCTTTGATAATCAATTGGTAAGAGAAATAGCTATTGAGGTCTCGTAGTTATCGTCGAATTTAGGAAGGAATGGTGTACGAGTGGTTGTTTGAGTGGCTATAACCAAGTCTATTTTGCAATCGTTGGGCCTATCTTTGCAATTGTAACCCATTGTTTGAACCGTTATGGAAAGTAAATCAACTGTGTTTCCAATGTATACAATCTTGGTTCACCACTATATTGCTTTTCTTAGGGGTAGAAATTTATTTTGGCGGTTTGACATCCAACCAGTGTAACGGTTGAAAACTTAAATGTGAGACTTAAATTGTTCATTCAAGATGCTCTAGTGTGACCACGCAGTACAAGATGAGGCATTGTGTTTTCTTCCTTTGCTTTTATCAACTTCTGCCATATGCCCATACGGTACAATCAGTTCAATTCTAATTCCATGTCTTCCATCTCTTTAGACTTTAAAGCCAACTTAAATTCTTCATAAATCACTCAATATCTCTCACTTTTTTCTATTCTTGCCCCAACATTTTCTGATTCACAAAAATAAGACCAAATAATATGAATTATTGCAATTTTACCCTCAATTAAACCAAAATTATTATCCAAAAATGCACTAATCACATATCTATCAATGTTGTTACATATTTTGTTTATTCAATGAATCAACTGTACTGTAATTGTGAAGAAGGAAACTACTCCGCAACTATTTATAAGTAATTATAATTTTTTGTCTAACACAAGATAGAACACACAACAAAATGCCAAAAATAAAATCACCTAAAATAAAAAATAAATCAAAAAATAACAAGACACACGACACAAAACATCCCTCACACCTAAATCAAACATTGTCCTCAGTTGACGTAGGGGAAAATTACACTACACAGAAAGTAAATATGACACAAAACTAGCAAACTGAAAGTTAAAAGAAAAAGAAAGAGATACAAACTCCCCTAAGTGTGAGGTGACCCGTGAATCCATGCATCAACTTTGCGCTCCAACTGTATTAGGAACTTGAAATTCCAAATAAAAGTCTTTCCCTCTTATCCTAGATTTCACCATATGCCACATGGTCACGCCATACAAAAGGATCATTATGATATTTCTTCTGAATTTCTCATAGCCTTCATGTGGTCACGGTCTAGTCTAATACTACTTCTGGAAATTTCCACTCCCTCACATTCTAATCCTTGCAAAAATATAAGATAAATACTTAGTGCAAAAAATATATACTAAGACCATAAATATAAAAACAAAAACAACTAAGTTGGGTTGCCTTTGCCAATGATCTTGTGGTCTAGTGGCATGAAGTGGCTCTCCCAAATGAGAGGTCATGGGTTTGAGCCCCAGTGGGGCGGTATTGACTCTTTGTGCTTTAGTAGGTTGAGAAAGTAGTTATGAACAAATACTACATTGTAAAAGAGTCAGTAGTACTAAAAAAAAAAGTCAGGTTGCTATAAGGTGATGCCCTTTGGCCTAAAAAATGCTGGGGTCACTTATACCCGAATGGTCGCACAGTTGTTAAAGGGGTTGATAGGCAAATCTATGGCAGCCTACGTTGATGATATGCTAGTCAAAATCAAGGAAGAGGTCGACCACACCGTTGATGATATGCTAGTCAAAATCAAGGAAGAGGTCGACCACACTGAGGACTTAACTGACTTCTTTGACGTCATGAGAAAGTTTAATTTGAGGTTGAACCCCAAAAAGTGCGTGTTCGTGGTCAGGGGGGAAAGTTCTTAGGCTATATGGTGAACCGGCGGGGTATTGAACCGAACCCGGAAAGGTGCAAGCCATCTTGGATATGCAACCTCCCAGCAACCTCAAAGAAATGCAACATTTGACCGGCCAGATGGACTTGGCTGTTTTGGAGTTCGTTTGTCTCTCGGGGGCTTGCAGGCAGTCAGCCTCGCCCACTGAGGGACTTGGCTATTTTGGAGTTCGTTTGTCTCTCGGGGGCTTGCAGGCGGTCAGCCTCGCCCACTGAGGGACTTGGCTATTTCGGAGTTCGTTTGTCTCTCAGGGACCCGCAGGCGGTCAGCCTCGCCCACTGAGGAACTTGGCTGTTTCAGAGTTTGTTTGTCTCTCGGGGGCTCGCAGGCGGTCAGCCTCACCTACCGAGGGACTTGGCTGTTTTAGAGTTCATTTGTCTCTTAGGGGCTCGCAGACAGTCAACCTCGCCCACTGAGGGACTTGGCTGTTTCGGAGTTCGTTTGTCTCTCAGAGGCTCGCAGGCGGTCAACCTCGCCCACTGAGGGACTTGGCCATTTTGGAGATCGTTGGTGTCTCGGGGGTTCGCTGTGACAACCCAAATCTTGAGGTATAAATCATGGATTCCCAAATCTATTATTTTAACCCAATGTTGATAGAATCTTGAGGTTTGATGCTTAGAAATGAATGAGAATGCATGTTAATATGTTTATTATGCGTTATTGATGTTATATGATTTATTCATGGTTGTCTGGAAGAGTTTTGTTGTGGTATGAGATCAAGAAAATGGAGATTTTGTCATTTGATGCATCTCAGAGGAATTCTCTGCCCGAGACTCGAGTTTGGCCATGTGGGCCTAGCCAACGGACCCAAAGGGGATCCGTTGGCTTGTGACGGATCATGGAGTGATCCGTCACTCCAATCCGCGACTTGGTGGAGCCAAGTGGCGAGGCTTCTCAAGGCCCGCCACCAAGCCCCACCAGGTCACACAGAGGAGAGGTCAGGCCCCTTGAGGCTCAGCTATGTGTATTTCGGACGGGGAATCGTGGGCCTGTGAGGCTCGTAACGACACGCTAGTGTGAGTTGTATTTTCATGATTTATGAGCAGAAGCAAATTGTTCAGACCAAGTATGATCCCTAGTCCCTGAGTATTTGATTGAATGTTTGAGTGCAAGATTATGAAGTAATATGTTAGCTTCTAATTGCAAGATAAATTGGTGAAATGTGCTATTTGCATTGTTTAACTCTGGAATAGAAGATTTGACAAGATCATTGAGATTCCTTGCATAAGTTATTGTTTCCAAACTTTGCATTAGAAGTCCATTATCACATATGTATAGTAGAAGGCCAATAGTAGTGCCTCAAGGTATTTTCAAAACCCTTATGTCTATTTTGAAAAATCTATATCTATATGCATTTGAGAAGCTTGCATGTTATTTAGATTTCCATCATGAGAAAGAGAAGTTGCATGAGTTATATATGTTATATATGTTATTTATATGATTTATATGATGTGAGGAAAATCTATGTTTTGGAGGTTCCCGTTAGGACTATGTCCTTTCGGAAGAAAAGAGAAAGAAAGAAGTTATAAGAAAAAGAAAGAAACGGTCACAGAAGACCGGAAGAGTATTTTAGAAGTAACTTGGTTGATGTTCCCGAGTTGCTAGGTTTGATACTACCCACTGGGCTTGGAATCCTAGTTAGGGGGTGTGCACACTGAAAGTACGATACCTGATTCTACAGAGATTAAGAACCACAAGTACCAATTCTGTGGGCGAGATGAGTATTAGGTCAGCCAGATTTTCCGAGCCCGGATAGGTCCATTCACAATTTGTGAAGTCCCTACCTTCCCCACGAGTTCAGAAAGAAAGTAAGTAAGAAAGAAGAGAAAAGTGAGTCAAGAGACTCAACAGAGATCTTCCACAGAAAAGTATTTTTTTTAAAGATCGAGAGTATAAGTATATGCATAGTATCATATCTTTATTTATAGAATTACATCATGGCATAGCATATGTCTTATCTTGAGTGTATGAGAAGTAAAGAACCATTCATTGCTTTAAGTATAACATGAAAGCATAATCTTACTTGATAAGCATATTTCCAGTTCATTATCTATCTTGAAAGTATCATCATGATTGCAAGAAGTGCATAGTAGCTTAATAGAAGAGTTGTATCACAGTTTCCAGTGCATATTTTATGCAAGAGCATTAATTATGAGTTGATATCTCTTGATATGAGTATAGGTTGCTGAGCATATAGAAGTATATAAAGTAACCCTATTTGAGATCTATTGATTGATTGTCGTGATTGCTTATGTTCATACTTGAGACGTGTATGAATGCAAAACGTTTTCCAACCTATATCTATGGTATGTTACAGGGTTGAGTGACTTTATACTTAGCATTATTTGCTAACGGGTTTATTTTCCTATGTGTTTTACAACCCCTTTCAGGTGGATCTATTGCATGATGAGAGAACGCATTCTTTACAATAGTGTGTAGCTCTAGTACCTAGTAGAGGCTAGACTAGTATTACCTTTGTGTTTAGACATTTTATTGACTATGGTTGTAGCTAGACTACAGTTTTTCTGTTGGTGCGTAGAAACCAGGGATTGCTTCCCCTTTTTGTTGTTATGATGAGTAGACACCCCAGTTTGTAGTAGTTTTGTTTAGCCTGTGCAGTTACTCGGGAGTGGGTAACTGTGGCGGTGACATTCCACTTAGTTTTTTTATTTGGATTTTATATCCCAGCATATTTTAAATTCCCTTGTTTAATCCTATTTAGAATGCTTATTTATGGGCTCTCAAGTTTAGAAAATGGGGGTGTTACACTCACAGGTGGTCAACCTCGCCCACGGAGGGACTTGTGCGTAGTCAGTTTTGATTGGGTAAGGCACTTAACAAGATATAA